GGGTCCCACGGCTACCGGGAGGTTGCGGGGGGAGGATCTCTCTCGGTTAAAAAAAAAAATGCCTCTTGTGTTCTGGAAAATGTCGAATTATATCATGTCAGGACGACAACTTATACCAAGATCACCTTAAATTATTAGAAAGCGACAGTGTTCTCCTTTTCCTAATCTTCAGTTCTTCGGTGGGGCTTTTGAACAGAGGTTGCCGCTACCTACACGCAACGCGTGTGGAATTCACAAGTGTTGCTTTGTAGCCCAGCTTGATGATGTTCTAAGTACAAATTCTCCCTAGTAGAAAGTAGCGATACCCCGGCAATGTTTTCCATTTACAATGGGTTTAAAAATGTGTAATTGTAAATTACAGACTGTTCCAAAACCTACAGACCTGTCAAGCAGAAGTTCACAGACTCGAACCCTTAAGGCGTAAATGAATTGACAGTGTTTCTTTTTCTAAAGTGTGAGTTACATAACATTCCCATAGCTCACTGGCACATACACGCACTATTCATTGCAAAGCTTTCCCAAGGTAGCGGGACGCCAGGAGTGAACACTCACCACAGGTTAGATTCTGTCCTTGCCGTACTTCACTACAGAAACCATCCTGCGAATAGTTCTCTGTAGAGACAAGCACGTGAAAACCCAGGGGAGAGCCCTTTTACCATCCTGCTCCTCGGTGTCAGCAGAGGGATGCAGGAGTGTTTTACAAAGCTGTTGCCTGCGGAAGCTACAGTCATCTGTGCAGAGCTCCCAGGCTCTTCCTGGAGATCTAAATACTGGATCCAGCTAGCGCTAGATCTAACATTTCATAAAATGCATAACAGACGTGTGTGCTTTGACTGAACATACAGTTGTAGGTGTTACCAAACAAACAAAGCTGTAATTCTCAAACCATACAGAGCAAGATTTAACTTCGTGGTAAGTAGGAGGTTAACAGAAATCCCAAGATGGAGCTCAGTCTGACAACACAACAGTGTTGTCATTCACAAACAGATGGAAAACGTGACTTTATATACTGTTTTGATTTGTTGTCTATCTCTGATGTTTTTTATTACTTTACAATTTTGTTGACTTTTGCATATACGTATACTGAATCATGGCACAATAGGGATTTCCAAAACGTAGTGAAACTGTTTAGATTGATTCATATCAATTACACATTTCATGTTTAGAGTATTTGTATTTATAGGGATAACTTTTTAAGCTCCTTAGGGATAAGACAGAGATGACAAGTGTGGATGATGCAATAGCCTGCTAATACTGAAACACTTGGGATATGAAAAGCGGAATGAATGCAGGATTTCAGAAGTGAGCAGGACCCTCTTAGGAAACATTTCACTAATCAGTTGCTCTTATCAGTCAACAGATGTAAAATATCTTGCACAAAGATGCAGTGGAACACTTGGAGATACTCAGCTTATGTTATTCATCACACCATAACTTAACTGCATACTACTCAGTTTTCAAGTTTCTCTTGTCTTGTAAATTGTATTAATTAGCTCATTTATCAGTTCATATTTAGAATCCTGCTTTCAGTAGCAATTAAATAACCCTTAGATTCAAAAGCCACATTCTGCTTCTAGTGTTAATAAAGATATACATGGCATTTACACAGGACTTTTGTCAGTATTTCACAGACTAGGCAGTTTGACATTTCTAGGAAACATGTTATTGCGTGACTGTTACAGAGAAACTGAAGTGCATACATATATATTTATTTAACTGATACAAGAACATAAAACAACAGTACCTACATTACTTAAAAGTAGCATCCCGTCATGTGTTGTTCTGGTATTTTAGTATGGATGAAGGGCACTTATTTTACTATGATGAAGGGCACTTTCTCTGCAATCCACAGATGACCTTTTCTGCAGTTTTGCCCACAGCAGATCTGCTGTTTTCTGCATTGATGGCAGGACACTGCAGTAACCAGTCACTTTGGAAACAAATGCAAGCCGGGGGTACTTTGGAAAGCCTACACATCTGTTTCCAAAACCTCCTCATCACCAAGAGCCAATAAACATTGCTTGCTAATACAAGCTGCTCTGAACTAACTGAAAAGAGCTGTTTATATTAGTTAATAGTGGCTGCTAACCATGTTTAAAGCTGCACTGCCTGGTGCACTCTAGTATACAATACAAGCTTGCAATGTATCTTCAAACATGCCAGCTGCTTCTTTTTACAGCACCCTCAAACCATTTTCAACATTTAATTCTATAGAGCTATGATGTCTAAGAAACATACCCTTTGATATCTAAAAGTGAGCCCTAAGTTCCTCCAGGATAACTATGTTTTATGGAACTGGTGTTTCCAGATGGAGCTAGCTGCCAAAATTATGAGTGTCCTTAACATTAGGATTCTGGCAGTAGAAAAGCAGCCACTCTGTGATGGAATAAGAAGAGCAGGCTGTAGGAAGCAGCTCTTGCATGAAAATTTAAGAACCTCTTCGAATGACTTACCCCTTTGCAATTTGTCCTTCTTCCAGGACCAAGGTTTTTAAGTTGCGTTTAGAACCCTTCACTACACTGTCTAAGCACCTTAGATAATGTTAACATTTTATACCAATATAATTGTCTCATCCAGGTCTTTCACCTCACAGGTGAAATTGTATCATTATGTTAACTTCATCTGAGTAGGAGAAGAAAAGGCAGAAAAAAGGCAGAAATTGATACAATGAAGCACCCCAAAGCAGTATATTGAGAATGAGCATTCTTACTCATAGTCAAAGTGAGAAGATAAACCAGTTTGAATTTGTTTCCTTGAATTTAGTGATTTGCCTTTGAAACATATCTGATTTTTTTTTTCAAATTGGTCCCCTCCTTCTCTCAAATTCTAGCTTTGCCGATTTTTTCTGAAAGTCTTTGTAAGGGCGTACTTTTGAATTAGATGATCAATGGAGCATAGAGGGTGATAAAGAAAATCATATTAGGATGTGAAACCAGCTAGAGTATGGTACAATGTAACTTCATGGCACAAGCTAATTGTAAGGTCCATTGTGCTTTTTAGCAAGTCAGCCTGATATCCCCTATTATCAGAGCTGAGTTCTTCCTTGGTTTTGCTACATATTGCAAGATAGATACATCTACCCTTGAAACACAATGGTAGAAGTCATACATAGGGGTGAGAAAGATGATGATGGGAGGAAGATCATGTGGGCAGGGGTCGCTCACCCCTTGCCCCACAAGTAGGACATGCGCAGACTGTTGCCATTAGGTAATGATTAGGCGGTGTTTGGCTGCCATTCAGGCATCACCTTATACTATGTACTGGCCCTACGTAGTGTAATGTGGAACTGATAAAAATGGGGTGTCAGGACTGCTGAGCTGAGCGATACTCATCCTACCATCGAGACTGTGTTGCTCCGCGGGGACGCCCGCTAAGCATAGGTACCGACCAGCTGCTGCAGATCCTGGTAGCCCTGGCCTGTCTGTGTGGGTAAGCACAGTTTTTTGATAGGAAGCAACCGAGAGAACTAACTTTTTAACGTTTTAATCCTTTTAGTGTCCCTTTAATTCCCCTTTATTATTGAATAAGTTGTTCCCTTTTAATATCATAGTATTTTTCCTTTAATTTCCCCTTTACTAACCAATATCGTGTTATCCATAATATAGTGTTAAGATCCCTTTTTTGGCATCCCTTTTTATTAGTTAAGATTACACCGTATTGAATGCTGTTCGCAGTATTTGTTTTAAGAACACACGATAAGGTAGTTATTTTGTATCTCTTTAGTTTTTGGTTCTTTCACTAAGTTTATTGTTATTATTACTATTTTCACTGTAATAAAGATGTTTTGTGTGTATGAATATCTGTGCACTTGTTTTATTCCGGGCATGTATCCTAACGAACTGTTACAGTCTTTTTAATCCATATTGTCTCAGTCTTGTCTGGGAGATGCAACAACCAATTATTAAACTGTTGACAGCATGCTGAAACTACTCCATAAACTCCATAAATCATAAAGATACTATGAAAGGCAGAGAAGGTTTCAAAAAACAAACTCAGAAGTTAGTTGCCACAGCTGCTGAAGTTCTGCCAGAAGAAACCTGTGACAAAATGAAATTTACTTGTATGGAATATATCAGTTTCTAAAATAATGGATTCAGTCTATGTTTGAGGGTCTGTCTGCTACAAATATGGTATGCCTTCATTAAAAGGATCAACAAAACCATTACCTTCTATTTCTCCTCAAGATGCAGATACAAGTCTAATGTGTAGAATATTAACATAGGTAATACAACTAGGTAAAGCATCTCCATTAGGTAAATACATCTCTTTTTACAAAATGACAGTCTAATTTATCATCACAACCTGAAGCACAGCCTTTGGATGTCTTCTGTCATGATTCTGAACTAATTCAAACCTATTCATCTCATGGGAAATAGTGTGTTGTATTCAAACATCTGTGTACTGCCATTTGTGTAGCCCATGGCTCAATTATATTTTTGTCTCCTTATTGTGTGTTAACAAGAAGCTTCTTTAATTATGTATTGTTGGCAAAGAATTTACATTTTCCCTTTTAAAACGACCACCATCTGTGATTGCACCAGCCTTAAAATAGCTTTAAAATAAGGAATCTGCATTTCTCTTGCCTAAATTGGGTGGTGATTAATATATGCTTCCCAGACTTTCCTTTTTTACACAGTATATTCATTGTAGTATTTCCTAATACCTCTGGAACTGGTTGCCCAGAGAAACTGTGGATCCTGAGAAGTGTTCAAGGCCAGGTTGGATGGGGCTTTGAGTAGTGGAAGGTGGCCCTGCTTACAGGTGGGGGTGTTGGAACTAGATGACCTTTATGGCCCCTTGCGTCCCAAGTCATGCTATGATTCCACGATTCTAAGTATTTTGTAGTATTTGTGTCACACATATTTCCTAGTTTTACTACCAATTCTGCAGGACTATGCTTTACACTCATCTAAGATTAAAAATTCTCAGGAGTGTGATACTCCACTTCCTCTCTTTTACCACCCTTTTACCTGGTCCCTGCCAAAGTAAGAGCCACGTACCTACAGCTCTTCACACCAGCCAAGAAACTGCTGACAGTACAACACGTCTTTGGGACAAATTATCAGCACTGCCTAGTTCGGGCTGCTTTCCTCTGACGTATTGTCCGAGTACTCCTGACTCCTGCTGCAGGCATGAGCCCAGCCTGGCCTCCTCTCAGGTTCGAAGATTAGGTCGTAAGTCTTAAACTCAGGGTACAGTAGGAGTGAAACTGGCTCTCTTGGGGCCACCCGCGACCCCTACATTTTGCAGGAATAAGGAGGACAGCTCACCCCTCAGCGCCTGTTTCGGAGGCCGTTTCCCACCGTTGGCCGCAACCCCTGAGCCCATCCCGGCCGTTAAAGCCCGGCGGGACTGCCCAGCCCTTCCTTCATCCCGCCCGGACAGGACCGCAGGGATGCGGTCGGGATCCCATGCACGGATGCACGGTGGGGAACGGAGCTTTGCACCAGTCCCCGCGGGGCGGAGCCGCGGCGCAGAGAAAAGAGAGCAAGTGGCAAGAATATCACACTCCTATGAATTGTTAAACTTCGGCGTGCGTAAAGCGTAGTAATATAGAAGGGATGGTAAAACTAGGAAATATATGCGACACAAATAGTACAAAATACATGAAATCATGTAATGGTTTGAGTTGGAAGGGACCTTAAATATCACCTAGTTCCAACCCTCCGACCGCGGGCAGGGACACCTTCCACTAGATCAGGTTGCCCAGAGCCCCATCTAAACTGGCCTGGAACACTTCCAGGGGTGGGGTATCCACAGCTTCTCTGGGCAACCTGTTCCAGAGGTGTTAGGAAACGCTACAATTTCTGTCCTGCGTACAGAAAGAAAGTCTGGGGAGTGCATATTAATCACAGCCTAATTTAGGCAAGAGAGGTGCAGATTCCTTACTTTATAGTCTTTTTTAAAGCCAGTGTAATTACAGACGGTGGTCGTTTTAAAAGGCAAAACGTAACATTCCCCGAATTCCCGCTTCCCTCAGCTGGGGCGCGGGCCAGGCGCCGCACGCGACCTGACGTCAGCGCGGGCGGGCGCGCCGTCACGCGCGCCCTCCCGAGCCCTCCCTGGCCCTGCCCGCGCCGGCCGGGCCGCGCGCACTGATTGGCCGCCGCCTTCCCGCTTCCTCCGCGCCGCCCGAGAACCCGCCATTTTGAAAACCTTGTTGATTCCGGGAGGGAGGGAGCGAGGGAAGGAGAGGGAGAGAGTGCCCGGCGGCTGCGGGGCTGCGCCGCGCGGCAGGGGTGCGTGTGTGTGTCGCTGCGCCCGGACCCGCCCCGTCCGCCGGGAGCTGCCGCCTCCTGCTGCCGCCGCCGCATCCGCGCCCGAGGAAGGAGCCGGGAGCCGCGGCTCGATCCGAGGTGGGTCCCGCCGCCATGGCCGTAACGGCGCCCGAGAGCGGTCCCGCCTCGCCGCGCCCGGGCCGGGCGGGGACGGGTTGTGACGAGGAGCAGTGGAACGGAGCCGCCGCGCCGCCGGGCTCCCGTCCCGCCCTGTGTGGCACACGCCGTGTGCGGGGCCCTGGTCGCCGTGGCCACCTCCCGGCCCGGCCCCCGCCCGGGGTGTCTCCTGGGCGCTGCGCTGTCCTGCGGCGGGAGCGGGCGGAGCGGTCCCGATCAGGGAGGCGATGGAGCCTTGGCCGCCGGGCGCTGCCCACAGTCTGTGCTTCCCTTCTTCGGGAAAGGGGGTACAGGCGGCGAGTTCCCGTCTGAAGAGTCCCAGGCGAGGGTGAGGGACCCTCTCCTGGCCGAAAGTATCCCCGAGTTGACTCTTCCTAAAGGTGGACCCCAGAGCCCTTTTTCTCTGAGCAAGCCGTCCTTATGAACCCAGGTGATAAAAAGCTGAAAACTCTCTAACTTCCCAATCCCCCGCTGCTCCCGTTGAAAGAGGAGGGCAAAACGGCTTGTAGTGCTTCCTATGCTTTTACACTCATGCCTTCAAGTAAAATTCAGGCAGTAATGCCGTGAAAATGACTTCTACGTGTCAAATGAAATATTGGTAGTAATACCTTGAATGGGTTTTTTTCCCCCAGTGATTTAGCAAAGAGCAGGAAACTACTTTTCCCCTTACTATTGGTAATAAATATTAACTTGCGCTTTCTGTCACTTGGAGCACTGCTGCTCTCTGCCACCTGCTAGTACTGCATATAAGCAGTTGATTTAAATGTTATTCATTGAACCTGAGCTCTTGCAGATAATATTGGCTTTAATATCAGAAGAAGAAAATGCTTAATCATGTGATATTTTTCCACAAGTACTTACAGCATCATTTGTGTATTTTGTTCCAGACCTAAACAGTGAAAATTTTTGAAAGCTGGAATTTTTCTAAAATGAATCATATGGTTATCTTCCTTTACTGGGATAGACATTTTCTCTTAGCATGGCAATGGTACATGCATAATTAAGATATTTTAAAGTTAGCATTGAAGTCACTTAAAATGCTAAGAAAAGACGCTTAAATATGTTAAGTATGAGACATTTATTATTTTCTGTTATAGATCTACAAATTAAAACCAAAAAGCATTTTCATGCCATAAGATGCAGCAACTGTCTGAATTACGAATGCAATGTTAATTCTTTTCTGTATTACTTGCAACTTTCTTTTTTTTATCATTTTTCTGTTCCCATTTCGCATCTAAATATGTAACCTGTTTAAGTTACTAGGAAACTTGCATGCGCAGTTAATCAGGAATAAGTGCAGGGTGCTCTAAAATAGTGATATCTTAAAACACTGCAGTTTTTAATAGATAACAGTATCAGCTGCTTTGAGTGGGTGTTTCCGAGTGCTTCACAAACAGCTTGTGTGTGAAAAAAATTTATAACTTTTTCGAGTGTTCTTAACTGGACTAGTTGCAGAATAGATGGCAACTTCTCCTGGAAAATTTTCTGTATTGTGTGTATGCAGAATATTTTAGTGATAATATAATGTGAACAATCACAGTACATTGTTTCTACTGCACAAGGAGATTATTTTAAAAAGCAAGATTCCTGTATTTTTCATGTATATTGCTATATTGGTGATGATTTTCCTGACTGCTTTTTACAGAACCATACACCATGTCTTCTGTTGATTCGTCAAAAGAAGATACAATGTCACCAGAAAAAACAGATGAGAAACAACCTGAAACTGAAAACAAAGCTGAGGAAAGTGATGAAGAAGAGGAAGAAGAGGAGGAGGAAGAAGAAAAGGGTGCTCGTTTTTCCATTAAATAAGTTCTCCTTTATTAAATGCCAAGCTGCTGAATGCAGTCTCCTGTGATCTTGGCTAATTGTACAATTATTGAGGAGATTCCATGGTACACCTGTCTCATGGGTCATAATAGCTTCCCAGTAGACTGTAGCAGGAAACACTAGAAACAGTGATACTGATTTATCTCAAGAAAGATTGAAGGAAGTGCCAGCATCCTGGGTTTCTGCACTAGGGTTTTTTTGTTGTTCTATAAATTTTTCAATCATTATAGGAGGTAGTATCCTTTATCAAATTATTTTTTGCCAGTAACACTATGAAGTAATCTATGTTTGCAAAAGAGAAACTTGTGAGTGTGCAGTACTTTTGGAAACAATACAGATGTCTTTACTTAACTACAGTAATTAATTTTCTGGGTACCCAAATGTCATTATATTGGGGAGGTAGAAATTTAATTAGACCAATTTTATCAGTAAAAATTGTGGCAATATGATAAGATGAGCAAAGCAGGTATTGTGTTGTGGTATGTAATTGAAGAGGGTAGTCAAGGAGTACAAAACATGATGAAGGAACTACTGTGCAAAAATGTTAATTTCCATTGTGAAGTCTCCAGGCATCTGTTTTGCAAATGAAAGCATTCATGGAAATAGAGCTGCAGTATGGCACAGTGAAAACCAAGTCACTGATGGTCTTGGATTCTTGAAAGAGAACAAGTTTGTCTCTAGGAAAGGTAGTGGAAAGAAAATAGATTATGCTGTTTGGAAAATAATAGAGTAATCAGAATTAGATTTTTAGTAACAATTTTTCTTTTGTACACACAAATATGTTTTGCTTTGTTTTTTGCAGACATATACCAGTTTTGATTGTGTTCATACAGGTTTGAAGCTGCTTTCAGATGTTAAAGCCAGGGCAACCCATCTATTTAGTGCTAAGGATAGTTTGATTTGAGGTGAAGTATTTTAGGATGAAATGTTTAGGCAAAGCTTTAGGTGTTTCTCCTAAAGTGGTATCATTAAAGTAATGATGTGCAATGTATACTAAACATATTCATTAGTAAGCAGTACCAGAATTACTGGGAATAATATTCTTGTAGTATTTGTGACACTCATATTGTGCCCTGGAGTGCTTCACAGCATAGACACGTACAGTCCCACTGCACTTATGCTTCTGCCTCTCCTATTGATATCTGTGGTTCCTCCAGTGGGAAAAAAATTTGTCTGCAGGCATCCTGGACTCTCCTTTTGCTCATCTGGTGGTAATATTCTTCTCAGGAGTGCTATGTGTGGAGCTGTGCACTGTCCAAGAAGGAGACTATGCAAACAATGTCACTTCTGTACCTCAAAAAGGCCGTTAAGGGAGAGAACGATGGGTTTCTGAAAATGCTGTGTCCTCCATTTGGGTGGATGTGAGGGAAATTCACCCCCACTTCCAATGGGGTGAATTTCCTTTTAGGAAATACCTAGTCTTGTTTTGAACATACCTTACGTTGGATACAGGATTGTGGTTAAGAACTAGAGACCTCTAGTTATGTATATGCGGCTCCATAGAATCACGTTGATTTATTAGCCAAGATCTGAAAGTGTCATAGTACTTGCTTGTATCCTCATCCATTTTTGGTTTGTCATTTCAAAGATTAAGTGTCATGTTGCCTGTCTCTACAGTCAAATCTGCTCATGCAATGAAAAATACTGTTTTAAGGAAGTTGTCTTTTGCAGAAAAGAGTCTCATCGTTGAAGGAAAAAGGGAGAAGAAGAAGGTCGACCGGCTGACCATGCAAGTGTCCTCATTGCAGAAGGAACCTTTTACAATTACACCAGGTAAGCTTGACCTCTCACATAAGAATTGTGAGTGTTGGGAATGATAATGAAACCTCTAAAAAGATCAAATTATTAATCTGTTGTAGATGAGACCTACCTTAAGAGTCATGATCCATTTTAAAATAATTAGGCTACTATAATTATATGAAAAGCCTCTTTTATTTTGTAGCATCAATTTAAACTGTAAAAGTTACATGATATTTAAACTTACTTAGAATAGGTAAGTACCTTTAGTACCTCACCACCAACAACAAAAGCAGGAGCAGCTAGAATAGAAAGAAATGCCAAATCCTTGTACCCTGATCTAGGTACTATCAAGTAAGGAAGGTAAAGAGTCTGTCAGGATGACTAAGTGATAGGAAGAGGCCTGCTTAATGTTTGACCTATTATAATGTGTCATTCTATTATGAAGTAACATCTTTGCTTCTTTAAAAAACATATTTAAAGTTATAAACACATAGGTAGATATGAATGTAATAAATAACATAATTGATTTTAATTGTTTCAGGAAAAGGACAAAAACTATGTGAAATTGAAAGGATACAGTTCTTTCTGAGCAAAAAGAAGACAGATGAACTAAGGAACCTGCACAAACTCCTCTACAACAGGCCAGGCACTGTAAGAACTTCAATCTTGTGTATCTATTAATTCTCATGAATAGTGAAAATGTTTGTAGTGTAGTTTTTTACATTTACACGTCAGTCTACTTCTTAAGTGTCATTTATTAGAAACTTAAAAAATTAATGTTGCAGGACCAGTTAAGTAAGCCCATAATTTTTTAAACTCCTATAAACTACTCTTCCTATAAAAGTCCTATGGCAAGGTGCCATTGTAAGTCTGCTCAAATGCAGATTTCTTAAAAATTTTACTTTTTTTATTGGGGATGGTTTATCTTATAGGGTCAAGTTGGAAATAATTTGTGGTTCACATGCTAAAAGCTGCTGACATGCAGATGACACTCAAAATATTCCACATAGTTATTCTACTCAATATAGCTTTTTCTTAGTACTTTCTTAGTACTTCTATTTCTTTTATATTTGAAAACTGTTAGTGAGTTTAATACGTTGCTGCTTATGTGATCATTTTCTCCCTTTATTAGCACAAGGCAGTAGAATGTAAAATTACATTATATATAAAATCCTAATAGTGATTTTTGTCGCATTTATGTAAGAGAATCAAAATATTACTTAAAAACAGATATGGCCCCTTTTGTATTTAAGGATGACACTTAAAGAAAATATAATAGCAAATCTTTCTTGGAGCCCTTTATGTATCAGTGGTTGTGCCTTAAATTTCAGAGTAAATATGACCCATTTTCCTTGCTAATGGAGGTAAAATGAATACAATGAAATTAAGGTAGATTAAATTTCAATATTTCTATATATTTACTATAATTATTGGAATTTGTTTTTAATACCTTTGTGTATTTTGGAGACTTGAACAGCTAGCACAGAACTCAGAAACTGAACAGTACTAGTACAGATGCATGCTAGCTGTAATATCTCAGGTCACTGCTTCAAATTCAGTGCTTGTTTAAATGGCTAAGAAAGACTTGTTGCCTCAAGTATTCAGAAAAAGAATATATCAGTATGGTTTCATTCAAAACTATATTTAATCAGAATGTAGTTGGGAACTCAGAGTGCTGTGTAATACAGCAAAGGTCAGATCTTGTCTTTTGTGCAAATTCTCGTATGTGCTTTGGATTGTAATTAACATTTTTAATACAACATATCAATACTGCAAACATACCGAATCTGCAGATTTTCTCAAGGTGCTGGGCAAAGCTCTTTGGAAAAGGAGCTCAGCTTTGCTAAAATTATAAACTCATGGAGAAACAGCAGGAACAAAATTTGAGTTCAAATTATTCTTGGTAGTGTTAAAAAGACCTCAGAAAATTGAAAGATTTGGGGTTATTCTTTAACGTCTTTTATTTTGTAAAAGGAGATGAAGTGAAAACAAAGAACTTAAATATGTTTGGAATCTTGATAGGAGCAATTTTCCTGTTATAAAGATTGCTGCAATTAAAGTTCAGCCCAGGTCAGACATCAGGTATAATGGTAGAAGTTGTAAATTGGGTGATATGTAAATACAAAAACTGGTCCTGCTAAATAAAAGGTTCAAAAATGGTCCTTCAGACTATTGCTTCAGAAAAGCAAATTAGAGAATAAAAAAAATAAAATTCACTGTTTTATAACAAATTACATGATAAAAAGCGTGCAACGGGCTTCATATGATCGAAGTTTTCCAAACCTGTAAATAATCATGCCGTACGTTCTAAACAAGCCTGAAATGGCAGGTGACTTTATGTAGTGAGTTATTAAAAGTACCAAGATCACACAAAGTTAGTCATTGTAGTTTGTCCGTCATGAGATAATTAAAGGCATGGTCCATGTAAGTTGTAACAATGTAACTTTTTGTCAACAGAAAGCTAAATGCTAGAGCAGATTTTTCATGTATGAAAAGTTTAAAAGATTTCATTTAATTACATTTGTTAACTTTGTGCAATGGGAAGTAATCTGTGTGTTCTGTTCTAGGTTGCATCCCTAAAGAAGAATGTAGGTCAGTTCAGTGGGTTCCCGTTTGAAAAAGGAAGTGACCAATACAAAAAGAAGGAAGAAATGTTAAAAAAGTAAAGATCTCTTTTGATACTTAACATAGCTTTACTAATACTATACACTCTTTTTTTTTTTTTCCAAAATTTTACTTAAGATTAAATTTAAGCTGAGTGGTTCCATGAGCTCTATGAGCTTTTTTCTGAGTTCATTTTAATCGCACAAACTGGTCTCTTAAAACAGCTTGAAATGTATTAAATTGTGAACATTTAATTCACAATTCCTACATTCCTGGCTTTAGCTATTGGATGCTAACTAGCATTCTTCCGCCAAGTGAGAGGAAAACATTATTTCCACAGGGCCAGCATAGTCTTGTGAACGCACTGTACTCTATTTGTGGTACAAACTTGCATTGTTCTATGCATCAAAACCTTTCTCTTTCAGAATCAAAGCCATTTCTGCTTATTATATATTAAACATATTAGAATTACTGTAGCAGCTAGTCTAACAAACTTTTTTTTTTTCTGTTTTACTGTCTCCCTTCGTAAGCTGCTTCTCCATTGACAGGAGAAACTACTATAACTTAGTTTTGACTGGATTGAAAGGGTTTAAAAATGCCCTTGTTGTAAAACATGAAAGAACTAATAAAACATCTACAATGTTACAAATTTACAAATGCTTACAAATTTACAAGTCTACAATTTGTACATTTGATTCTAAAATGCTTTTTTTTAAATGCCTGTTTGTTGATAATAGGAAGGCTTCCAGAATTTGGAATTTGCAAATTTTTCTTCCTTATATGTGCAGTTTTCCAAGAGTAGGGTTTGTCAAATACATAGGAATCTACAATAAAAACTCTGTCTCCTGATGGGAGTTTTGACTGTTTTCCACTGGCTTAGTTGGATAATGGATAATTGGATCATTCCCCTTATCTACACAAGGTCACAAAATAATTTTGCGCTTTTTTTCCCACATTTTCCATATGAAACAACTGCTAGTTTAGCTTTGTTACCCTTCAACAAATATTCTGAAACCTGGTTGCATTGTCACTCTTATATCAAGGTATATCAAGCCCTTTGTGTTTGCATTACTTTGCTAAATGCTGTTGCTGTTCATATCTGCGTATGGAACACTGCTGATTAGTTTGTTAATTTGTTCTGACTGTGTGGTTGATTTCTGCCCACACTGTACACTTGCATGTCATCGTACTTTAACAGCATTGAACAAGATGAACAAAGGTCAACATTTATTTTACAGAATCTTACCATTCAGGTTATAAATTACAAAGAATGAATGTTGAGGTTGCTGTGTGGGTTAGAGTCCTTGGATTTTATAAGTCAAAACTACTTGCTGTGGAAGTTACTGACTCAAAACTTGTGTGCACTTGTTTATTCCACACTTGAACTGCATCTTAATAGTTTGCTATAATTGCTATTACCTGCAGATCTACCTTCAAAGCATTAAAATTAAGAAAGATTCTTTTGAAGTAAAAGGGGTGGATATCAGAGTTTCTCTTAATGTTCTGTCTTCATCAGAGATACCTCTGTAAGGGGTTAAGGAACCAGAGAAAATAGAGGGAGACTCGCTGCCCCCTTAAGGTTCCAGTATTGTACACACTGGATTTATTTTCTAGAATTGATTTTTTTCCCATTATAGTAGATTAGGAGAGATTCTATGGAAGGTACTTTTTTTTCCACTAAGATTTTATAACATTGTGTTTTATATCCTATTTTACAGACATATGGATTTGAGAATTTTTTTTTTATTTTACCTTATGTAACATGGTGGTGATTCTTTGCTTAACTATAAATAAGACTGGAAGTGTAGTTAACTGTGTATATATATTTTCAGGTTGCAGACAGAAACCAGACATCAGCTTCTAGCAGTCAAATGTTGACTGTTTAGGATGTGATACTGAATCTTTTTTCTTTTCTCTTTTTTTTCCCCAGATTTAGAAATGCAATGTTGAAAAGTATCTGCGAAGTTCTTGACTTAGAAAGATCAGGAGTTAATAGTGAGCTCGTAACCAGAATATTAAACTTCTTAATGCATCCAAAATCTTCAGGCAAGGTGAGATGCAGGTTGTTACGCTTGCTTTTATAGCTCTGTTCCGATGGAGAATGTATCTGTCTCTATTGCTTGTTATTTGCCAGTTACTAGTGGTGATACAATTACTGCTCTGAGTTACTGAAGTGGGAATGTCTTCTTGAAAGAGAATAGCTCTGCTACTGCAAGCATCCATAATGGGGTGGGGACTGTATATTTACATGCAAGTGTACCCATTATACACAGCACACAGAAGTGTATGAGGTTAACACATGAAGCTAATTAAGATATCCAGCCCTAAATACCCTAAGTAGCTTCCGCTTTGTGTGTGAATGGAGTAGCATAGACATAATATGAAAGGACAAGAAAATACACTGACAGATGTTACCTCCGTATGCTACATTTGGACATCATAAATGGAATTTTTTGCAAGGCTAGAAAAACTTGATTTAGCAAGTATATGCTAGTGTACTAGATTCAGCTGCCAAGACTACTAAATTCTGTTGTTAATCTTCGTGGACTTTCAGTTTTTAATCTAAAAGTAATACTTAAATAGTTGCTTTGTTGCTTAGAAAATTAAATTCCCAGCAAACACTGGTAAGCGATGTGAATAAGGAGTCTCCGTGCTACTTTAGGGACACAGGTACTGAGTGACAGCAAAATGCAGCTTGTCATAAGACATGACAGAATTCCTGCCTTTAAGTCTTCTGAGTTGTCAGCTGATTTGTTACCAGAAGTAAAGGCTTGCTTTTATGGGTTGGGAGCGCATAGATAGGTAAAAGGTTCCTTCTAGATTGTTCTTTCTTGCTTCCCTTCCCTAAACCCCAGCCTTTGAAGATCTGTATGCTTAGGGAAGGGGTGCACTTAGCTTAGAACTGACATTTCATTTTGCACAGCTCCATCTCCATAGTGAATGTCTGCTTACTGCAAAATGTTATGGCTTAAGTGTAGTACATAAAATAGTCCTGGGTTTTGTTAAGAGACCTTTATATTTGTTTGCCATTCTTTCATGTGAGTTGAAAGAATTTATATTTTTGAAATTCACTTTTGAATTCCTACTTGGATGACACTCATCTCTTTTCTCTCAGCCATTGCCAAAGTCCAAAAAAACACCAAGCAAAGGTGGCAAAAAAGAGCGCAGTAGCTCTGGAACAACAAGAAAAGCAAAACGCACTAAGTGCCCTGAGATCTTATCAGATGAATCCAGTAGTGAAGAAGATGAAAAGAAGGAAAAGGATGACTCTTCGGAAGAAAAAGAAAGTGAAGATGAGGTAACAAGGAGTTTTGTTTGGTTTTCAACACAGGGCTTAAAACATTTGTCATTATGTTGTTGTTATCAATTGGTAATTCTTGGAACATGCAGAGTTGGGGAGTAAGTGATATTTAACTGAATGAATGGTTTGAAAGAAAAGGGAACACATCTGCAATTTATAAGAGGTTTTCATAATTTCTTAGTGTGTTGAAGTTAGAGAATCAGTTAGATAAAAGGCAAAGGTTCTGATTCCTGGGTGTGTGTATGCACCTTATAAAACTGTTCACTATGTGCCATTTTGAGCAGCCAGGATTTCTAACATAATTGATTGCATTTCTTGTATTATCTTGTGATGACTCTACTATAATTTCACAAAAATTTCTAATGTCCGTCCCTCCGTCTGTGACGTCTGGTTCCATCTATCTATCTATTCTGTGTCTGTCTATCTTTTTCCTTTTTTTGCTACCTAGGAATTCAGATTTGATATTTTGAATTTGATCGGTGTCCCTGACCTACCTGACTGCATTTGGTTTGGATCACGGTTCTGTATTTCTCCTGGATTTTATGTCCTAACCTCTTTTCAGCTTCTGTGTCTTAGATCACAAAGATAAAGTAAGCAACATAGTAAGCAGCCTTAGAAACTTCCCTGCAATCTCCGAAGTGTTCTCATCTCACTGTATTTTCTGTTTTCTTTGAAGCTTTTTGTGTACTAGGAGAGAAACATCAAATCATGGAATAGTTTGGGTTGGAAGGGACCTTTTAAAGGTCATCTAGTCCAGTCCTTCTGCAGTGAGCAGGGACATCATCAACTGGATCAGATTGCTCAGAGCCCCATGGAACCTGGCCTGGAATATTTCCAGGCATGGGGCATCCACCACCTCTCTGGGCAACTTGTTCCAGTGTTTCATCATCCTCATAATAAAAAAATTTTTCCTTATATCTAATCCAAATTGTTCCTCCTTCAGTTTAAAACTGTTACCCCTTGTCCTGCTGCAAAAGGCCTTTCTAAAAAGTCTGTCCCTATCTTTCTTACAGATCTGCTTTAGGTACCTAAAGGCTGCTAAAAGGTCTCCCTAGAGCCTTCTCTCTTCTAGTCTGAACAACCCCAACTCTCTCAGCCTCTCCTTGTAGGAGAGGTGTTCTGTTCCTAATCAGAAATTAGATGAAACCCATGCATTCCCTTTCAGCCCAGTAGTTATTCACAGCATAGACACAAAATGTGGAGGACCAGTACAAGTCTGCAGCTGAGTTACTGTCCAAATGCTTGAAGCCTGGAAAAAAGACATTAAAAGAAGTTACAGGCTCCATTTTAACCTGCATTTTGACTTATATTAAACTATCTTTCTAGCCTTAATCAGACCCCTGCAACAAGCAGCATTTAGTCAACTGTTGGTGTCCGAGAAAATTTTTTATGTAAGCTATGGAACCTTTGGCTGTAATGTAAGACCACTATTTACTTGGGTTACATTCTGTGTGTTCCAATGAAGTGTGACGGGCTGCTAAGTAAATAGTCTGAGCTATAGAAAATAGTAACAAAAATCTCTTGTTGGAAGGCCCTTTATGTAACTTTAACAGTTTGTTTTGCCAGGGGTATTTTAATATGTGTTTGTTTTAATGTAAAAAGATAGTTTAAGGAAATTCCCTATGTCTCCATGAAACAAATTTAATTCTTAGTGTGCCCTTTTATTTACCCATAAATGGAAAATTGAAAGAGGGTTGAAATACTAAAAGTTGACGTATTTCTTCATCTCTTCCAGATGACAGTGTTTCTGCTGTGAGGAGAGGAATGTCTGTTTCAGAGGCAGGAGTTGTCTTTTAGAAAATTTTTCAAGAATTCAGTTAGTTAAAGAAAAAAAAATCCCAACCCCCCAAACAGAATTCTGACAAACAAAAAGGCCTAACAGTAAACCCCATTGATATAAGTGGGTCATCTTTGCTTTCTTTCTGAAAGTAGGGGTTAGATATGTCTGCGAGGCAATAGCTGAATGGACTGAAGTCTTTAGAAGCTGAAGTTGACATGCATGGAGTAAAAGCTTAATTATGACAAAAACACTGGTCTGTCAAATTAGTTTGAATATAGGACACAGTGAAATGGAAAATGTCTGTCTACAGCTTTAAGATTGCAGCATTTTTTAGGGTTATGACAACTTTTAATATACTGCAGATGGAAAGGTGTAGGCAGTATATTTACTTTTCTGCATCAGCTCTGTAGTAATCTTAGGCATGGAGTGGCTGGAGTAAACTGCCCTCAGAGTGGACAATTTTCCTTTGTGGGAAAGAGGTATGGATAAAAACCATCATTTGAATTTTGTTTTTTTTTCTTCACAGCCCCCTAGAAAAGCATCTAAAAGAGAAAAATCTAAAAAGGTGACTTCCAAAACTAAGAAAGCTGTGAAGAGTGCGAATGTCAAGAAGGCAGACAGCAGCACCACTAAGAAAAATCAGAACAGTTCTAGAAAAGGTAAATGCTCTAAATCTTTCATCATACCTTGTCTTGTAGTTTAACTGTCATGCTTATTAGAAAGCAAGCTTTTGCACCTAATTGTGAAAAGAAAATGGATTTTGTTGAATTGTTGGCTTGCTACTTGATGTTTCCTTGAAATGTTAATTAAAAAAATGTTCTTGGTTTGGGTATACTTCATGTAATTTCTGCTGTGTAAATATATATATAGTTTTTATTTGCATATAAACTGAAAGTATCAGCCTAGATCTCCGTTCTGCTGGGTGACAAAATTCTGTTGGGGCCTCTATGGTGGCTTCATGCAAATCTTGTAATTGATCCAGTGGTGTATATCCCACTGTGTGTGTCTTTGGTTCAGCAGCTTGATGTGGTTTTTTTTGTTAACAGAGATATGGTTTCTCCATGCATCCCCTTGCTATTGATTTTCTCATATCTCACAATATGCATTGAAGTTACACAAACATCGAGTTTCTTAACAGCTTTATAAAGATTGTAGCAGTGTGG